GTTTGGTCAGATCTATCTATCTATTAAGTCAAAAATGAATCATCTAAGAAATTCAGACAACTTAAGACTACTAGGTGTAATCAATCAATAGAAATAAGATGATAGAAAGACGAGTGAAAAATGAATAATAATGACAATGCTTCATCTAAGAAATTCAGACAACTTAAGACTATTACGCCTTATTACTACTACTAGTTAGTAAACAAGCAATAGAAATAAGATGAAAAGAATGACGAGTCATAAATGAATAATAATGAAAATGCTTCATCTAAGAAATTCAGACAACTTAAGACTATTACGTCTTATTACTACTACTAGGTGTAAACAAGCAATAGAAATAAGACGAAAGAAAGACGAGTCATAAATGAATAATAATGATAATGCTTCATCTAAGAAATTCAGACAACTTAAGACTATTACGTCTTATTACTACTACTGGTGTAAACAAGCAATAGAAATAAGATGAAAGAAAGACGAGTCATAAATGAATAATAATGATAATGCTTCATCTAAGAAATTCAGACAACTTAAGACTATTACGTCTTATTACTACTACTAGGTATAAACAAAACAATAGAAATAAAGATGAAAGAAAAGACGAGTCATAAATGAATAATAATGATAATGCTTCATCTAAGAAATTCAGACAACTTAAGACTATTACGTCTTATTACTACTACTAGGTATAAACAAGCAATAGAAATAATATGAAAGAAAGACGAGTCATAAATGAATAATAATGATAATGCTTCATCTAAGAAATTCAGACAACTTAAGACTATTACGTCTTATTACTACTACTAGGTATAAACAAGCAATAGAAATAATATGAAAGAAAGACGAGTCATAAATGAATAATAATGATAATGCTTCATCTAAGAAATTCAGACAACTTAAGACTATTACGTCTTATTACTACTACTAGGTGTAAACAAGCAATAGAAATAAGATGAAAGAAAGACGAGTCATAAATGAATAATAATGATAATGCTTCATCTAAGAAATTCAGACAACTTAAGACTATTACGTCTTATTACTACTACTAGGTGTAAACAAGCAATAGAAATAAGATGAAAGAAAGACGAGTCATAAATGAATAATAATGATAATGCTTCATCTAAGAAATTCAGACAACTTAAGACTATTACGTCTTATTACTACTACTAGGTGTAAAGAAGCAATAGAAATAAGACGAAAGAAAGACGAGTCATAAATGAATAATAATGATAATGCTTCATCTAAAAATTCAGACAACTTAAGACTATTACGCCTTATTACTACTACTAGGTGTAAAGAAGCAATAGAAATAAGATGAAAGAAAGACGAGTCATAAATGAATAATAATGATAATGCTTCATCTAAGAAATTCAGACAACTTAAGACTATTACGTCTTATTACTACTACTAGGTATAAACAAGCAATAGAAATAATATGAAAGAAAGACGAGTCATAAATGAATAATAATGATAATGCTTCATCTAAGAAATTCAGACAACTTAAGACTATTACGTCTTATTACTACTACTAGGTGTAAAAAGCAATAGAAATAAGATGAAAGAAAGACGAGTCATAAATGAATAATAATGATAATGCTTCATCTAAGAAATTCAGACAACAAGACTATTACGTCTTATTACTACTACTAGGTGTAAACAAGCAATAGAAATAAGACGAAAGAAAGACAGTCATAAATGAATAATAATGATAATGTTTCATCTAAGAAAATTCAGACAACTTAAGACTATTAATGCCTTATTTCTACTACTAGGTATAAACAAGCAATAGAAATAAGATGAAAAAAAAAACGAGTCATAAATGAAAAATAATGATAATGCTTCATCTAAGAAATTCAGACAACTTAAGACTATTACGTCTTATTACTACTACTAGGTATAATCAAGCAATAGAAATAAGATGAAAGAAAGACGAGTCATAAATGAATAATAATGATAATGCTTCATCTAAAAATTCAGACAACTTAAGATTCACGTCTTATTACTACTACTAGGTGTAAACAAGCAATAGAAATAAGATGAAAGAAAGACGAGTCATAAATGAATAATAATGATAATGCTTCATCTAAGAAATTCAGACAACTTAAGACTATTACGTCTTATTACTACTACTAGGTGTAAACAAGCAATAGAAATAAGATGAAAGGAAGACGAATGAAAAATGAATAATAATAAAATATAATAATATAATAATAAAATGAAATATCTATACAAGGATTCATTTCCTGAAAATTTGATTGATTTCAAAAGCATACAAAATAACTTTGTTGGTTTGTTCCACTCAGTTAAAACAAAAAAATGTCCATTGATTCCCATTCTGAAATGAAGCAAATTTAATCCATTTATTGTTTGTGTTTTTAAGAGATTATCTGAGAGAAATATAGGTGCTGCTATAGTATTATGATATCTACCATCTATTTTCTACTATAGTATGCTATCTGTTATTCATTTTCTACTATGATATAATATTTACCAACTGTTGGACATATGAAATATGTTAGGAGGGTTAGGGGTTTGGATTAGGGTTAAAGGCAGTAAGCAGTGAGCTAGTTATGTGTTAAAAATCATTAACAATTTCTTGTACAAAAAAATATTAATAAAATTATCAAGTAGTGATTTTAATATTTGTAAACTATTTTGATGTCATTTAAAAAAAACAGTCTGCCCCAGTGAGCGAAATAAAGGGTTCAGTTTGACATTCCAACCACATGAAGAAGGCTGGAACATACAACAGCTGAAACGTTGCGATAAATATGGCGACAAAGATCAGGACAATAGTCTGAATAATGTAAATAATGTACATAATACCACATCTCAGAAATATAGACATATACTGAAAGGCCGAAACGTTGTAATAAATATGGCGACAAAGATGAGGACAATAGTCTGAATAATGTAAATAGTGTACGTAATACCTCATCTCAGAAATATAGAGAGATAGTGAACAGGTCCTTGTTTATCCTGAGCACTTTCAAACAATAATGAGTGCATTGTCATTTATGGTAGGTTGCAAATGTCTCAGTAGATATCATTCTGTAGTAGCAATGAAATATGATATATAAACATACAATATCAGAGGAAGAGTGGGTAATTGAATGAGATTAAGAATAAGAAATTTAATTAATACAAAACAAAATAATGATGACTTAAAAATTAAGGCAGGAATAGAGTCTAATACAAAGTTATAAGAAATATGCAGGTGAGACAGGAAATTAAAATAAAAGAATATATGAACGGCAAAAGGACCTTTGATAAAACAACATACTCAGTGAATTAGTCATTTATCGTAAATAATTAAACCATAAATTTAACTTAAAGAATGCAATTTAGTAAGAGAAAGTAATCTACTGAGGTAAAAATGTACAGAAAGTGCCTATATATATATATATATATATATATATATATATATATATATATATATATATATATATTAGAATATATATATATGTATATATTAAATTTGTATGTATATATATATATATATATATATATATATATATATATATATATATATATATATAGATGATAGACATTCTGTACTGATTAATTTTACTGAGTTTTCCAAATTACAAATAATCCTTCAGACAATTTTTTATTAGAATTTCCTCCTTGTCTGGAAAGGACTATTTGCAATTTGGAAAGTCGATAAGTAAAATCAATCAACACAAAATGTCTGTCATCTTTAATAATATTTACCTTAAAAAAAAATATATATATATATATATATATATATATATATATATATATATATTTTTAAAATATAGGTCAAGGTTATTTTAACTGTCTTCTTGAACCAGACACTCCCACTTCTCCTACTGGGAATTTATTTAATTTGTATTAATATTTATATTAATATTAATATTAGTATTAATATTTATTTAATATTTATTAATATTAGTATTAATATTTATATTTAATATTAATTTATTAATATTAATATTTATATTGGGAATTTATTTAAATTTGTGTCTGGATTCTTATCTGCAATTTCCTTTTTATTCTTCTCATTCTTTTTCTTTTTTCTTTTTCTTTTTATTCTTTCACTCTTTTGATTTTATTCTTTAAATTTTAAGCTCCTATTTTATTTCTTCACATCTCTGAGAATTGACAAGGTCTATAAGTAAGTCTTATGGACTGAAATAGCTATTTGAATAAGGTAATTTTGTATTTGTATTCTAAGTAATATATATATATATATATATATATATATATATATAAAGTTGCATATATATATTTATATTTATATACATACACATTATTTATATTTATATACATACACATTTTATATATATATATATATATATATATATATATATATATATATATATATATATATACACAGACAGACTGTTTTGCTTGTATTACAGCTCTTCAGTGTGCCTAGACATCCAGTTGCCTCTAGCTACGATCGAAACCTGGCTGAATTGGCATCAGTCTGAGATTCTACCACTAAGCCGTCAGCGCACAGCAGGGGCGAAGTTGAATTTTTAGCGTACTTATTTTTTAGATAAACACACAGTAACTGAGAGGATTCGATTCACTTTACTGAAGAGTCTTGCTATAAGAGCTATAATAGTCACTGTTTACAAACCCACACTTCCTCCCACAGAGAGCTCAACCAAAATAAATTTTTCAGGAGCCAATATATTGCTATCCACAGATATATATAATAAATATTTAAAAGAAAAACAGACCACTTTAAGGTACCATTATAATAATTTATTTCCCCAGAGTCCTTTTAAAGGATGCTGGATCATCAGATAGCACTTCCAAAAAAAAAAAAATATCTGATGATCCGGCATCTTTTAGAAGGACTCTGGTGAAATAAATTATTATAGTGGTACCTTAAAGTGGTCTGTCTTTCTTTTAAATACTAGCTCTGGATTTACATTGAGCTCTCAGGATTTCATCCTCCTTGGGATTAGCCATACAGATTACCAAGTTCTTCATAACTTAACTATTTATATATATATATATATATCCAA